TTTGGAATGTTGCGGGGGCATTTTTTATTCCAAATGGTATCCGACTGAATTCGTTTTGCTGTTTTCTATACTATTTTGGATATAGAATTTAGATGCATTTCCACTAAGAAAAGCCCTTTACAGCTATAGCTTTTAAACACAAATACTTTGAGAAAAGGCCATCTTGGATATACTAGGTACTATCTATAGTGGATTATTGCTTTTAGAGCTTCTGAATGCTAGAAATTGCTATAAAAAAATTGTATTGAGTTTGTTTGTTTAGAGTTGTCGCGAAAGTCACTTTATTTATGACTGAGATGGGGTCCTGCAGTTTCTCCTGTGGTAACTATAACTGAGATGGAGCCCTGTTTTCCATAATGTCACCTCTTTCCTCCCCTTATAGCCATCCCGATCCTAGCTACTGATAACTGTTTCTCTGATCTGTGGCTATTACTGATACTCTGAAACTAGCGTGAATCCTCTGCCTGGGATTCGCGTTGCCTGATACTGATACTGATACGTAAATCCTCTGTCTAGGATTGATACGTTTACTGATACTCTGGGACTGATACTAAGACAAACTACTTGAGAAGACTAGTAATCTGACAATCTTTCACTGACCCTGAACTCTTTACCCATAGAGAAATACAGGGTGAGTCCGAAATTAGTGCGTATTTTGTTATAATAGATAGAGTATAGTAGGACAATCACTTTTTGTATAGGAACTTGTGACCGCAAACGTCGCGTTAAGTGTTTGCGACAGGTTTGCGATATAATATGACATAAACTTTTTTAACTTCATTGTTGTTTAGTTTCCGGTGTCATGCGAACAGAGTAGAGTACATGGAACAACGAGATTTTCCAAACAATACATTGATTTTTATTTTTTATTTCATAAACGTAGCATCGAACAAGAAAAACTTGGGATACCTTTTCTGTTTAAAATTAAACAAGGAATCAAAAACTATTTTTAAATTTGTCAAAACAACAATGTTTAGATTTAGCCTCAAGATTCCAGTGGATATGTATAGAAAACGAACATATTTATGTGAATAATTTGATGGAATACCATTTGGACTGAAAAATGCGCCTGCGACATTCCAACAAAGAATAAATAGATGACATGTTATCCGGGATTTGAAAACACCCAATGCAAATTCTGGAAAAAAAATCGGTTTGTTTGAAACCGTTTTTCATTATTTTTTTTTCCGAAATAAACAACGACATGGGATTATTTTACATATTTATTGTAGGGGGTGCTGTTATTGAAAAAAAAAAAACTTATATTCTCCATTTTTTAAAGAACGAAAACTCCAATATTGCTTCATTTTGACTTTGAAAGTTGCATTAAAGAGTGAAAAGAACCTCCTATTTATAAGTTTTAGAAGCCATTTTGGATGTACTCCATTGTAGGTTACTCATCTGTACTGTCAAACCATCAGATACACTTTTATATTTTTGTATTTGGTTCTAGTTTTGGTTCACCAACCCACAGATTAGACAATGCATACTTTGGAATGCCGCGGGGGCATTTTTTATTCCAAATGGTATTCGACTGAATTCGTTTTGCTGTTTTCTATACTATTTTGGATATAGAGTTTAGATGCACTTTATTTATGACTGAGATGGGGCCTTACTGTTTACCCTGTGGTAACCACAACTGGGATGGGGTCCTGTTTTTCCTAATGTATCCTCCTTCCTCCCCTTATAGCCACTCCGATCCTCGCTACTGATAACTGTTTCTCTGATACACTGATCTGCGGCTATTACTGATACTCTGAAACTGGCGTGAATCCTCTGCCTGGGATTCACGTTGCCTGATACTGATACTGATACGTAAATTCTCTGTCTAGGATTGATGCATTTACTGATACTTTGAGACTGATACTGGGACAAACTACTTGAGAAGACTAATAATCTGACAATCTTTCACTGACACTGATGCATAGCACTGATGTGAACCCTCTACTTGGGGTTCACATGCCTGATATTGATACCTGAACCCTCTACCTGGGATTCACCTTGTCTGATATTGATACGTGAACCCAATGACATATTAACACAGATAGACATTACAGAACAACATTTTTGTTAGGGATTGATATTTTAACCTGTTATGACTTCGCTTCAGCAAGTTGGAGATTCAAGACTAAAAACGACAACTGGCAACGCCGGTTTGTAAAACAGTCGGAACACACGCTGCAATCGCCTCCATCGAACTTATATCATATGAGTTAGAGGCAGATAGATAGATAAACGAGTTGCACCCGTGACATTTCTACATTATTTTTGTCAAGTGAATGACGGGTTCAGAGGGAAAGGCGGATGTTGTTTACACCACTGATGCATCCCTACCATGACCTCCCTCGAGCAGCTCACCTCTCCTGGCCCATGGGGGTCTTGTCATCACAACAAACATCAGTTTATGAATGAGATGCGGTGTCTATCTGCGTTAAGATGTCATTGCGTGAACCCTCTACCTGGGATTCACCTGGCTTTTTTCCTAAAGAATCTCAAAATTGTATACGGAATAAAACAGTGGCGGATCAGGAAAAAACAATTTTCGTATTTCGGGCGCTTTCAAAGAACGATTTATTACCGAATGTTATAAATATGTTTCAGATTCAGCCTCAAGATTCCAGTGGATATGTATAGAAAACTAACTAATTTGATGGAATACCATTTGGACTGAAAAATTCCCCCGCGATAATCCAACGAATAATAAATAGATGACATGTTATCCGGGACTTCCAAACACTCAATGCAAATTTTAGAAAAAAAAATCGGTTGGTTTAAAATCGTTTTCCATTTTTTTCTGAAATGAACAACGACATGGAATTATTTTATATATTTATTGTAGGAGCTGCTGTTATTGAAAAAAAACTTATAAATTCTCCATTTTTTGAAGAACGAAAACTCCAATATTGCTTCATTTTGACTTTGAAAGTTGCATTAAAGAGCGAAAAGAACCTGCTATTTATAACTTTTGGAAGCCATTTTGGATGTACTCCATTATAGGTTACTCATCTGTACTGTCAAATCATCAGATACACTTCCATATTCTTGTATTTGGTTCTAGTTTTGGTTCACCAACCCACAAATCAGACAATGCATACTTTGGAATGTCGCGGGGGCATTTTTTATTCCAAATGGTATCCGACTGAATTCGTTTTGCTGTTTTCTATACTATTTTGGATATAGAATTTAGATGCATTTCCACTAAGAAAAGCCCTTTACAGCTATAGCTTTTAAACACAAATACTTTGAGAAAAGGCCATCTTGGATGTACTAGGTACTATCTATAGTGGATTATTGCTTTTAGAGCTTCTGAAGGCTAGAAATTGATATAGTATAGTAGGACAATCACTTTTTGTATAGGAACATGTGTCCGCAAAAGTCTCGTTAAGAAAATACAGTGTTGAAATTTTCAGAAATTTTTTTTTTGCCTTTAGAGTGTTTGCGACAAGTTTGCGATATAATATGACTATATGACATAAACTTTTTTAACTTCATTGTTGTTTAGTTTCCGGTATCATGCGAACAAAGTAGAGTACATGGAACAACGAGATTTTCCAAACAATACATTGATTTTCAATTTTTATCCCGAAAAACTCGGGATACCTTTTTTTGGTTAAAATTAAACAAGGAATCCAAAACTATTTTTAAATTTGTCAAAACAACAATGTTCAGATTTAGCCTCAAGATTCCAGTGGATATGTATAGAAAATGAACATATTTATGTAACTAATTTGATGGAATACCATTTGGACTGAAAAATGCCTCCGCGACATTCCAACGAATAATAAATAGATGACATGTTATCCGGAATTTCGAAACACCCAATGCAAATTCTAGAAAAAAAATCGGTTTGTTTTAAATTGTTTTTAATTTTTTTCCGAAATGAACAATGATATCGGATTATTTTATATATGTATTTATTGTAGGAGGTGCTGTTATTGAAAAAAAAAAACTTATAAATTCTCCATTTTTTCAAGAAGGAAAACTCCAATATCGCTTCATTTTGATTTTAAAAGTTGCATTGAAGAGCAAGAAGAATCTCCTATTTATAACTTCTAGAAGTCATTTTGGATGTACTCCATTGTAGGTTACTCATCTGTACTGTGAAACCATTAAATACACTTTCATAGGTATTCTTGTATTTGGTTCTAGTTTTGGTTCACATATCCTCACAACCCACAGATCAGACTATGCATACTTTCGAATGTTGCGGGGGCATTTTTTATTCCAAATGGTATTCGATTATATTCGTTTTGCTGTTTTCTAAACTATTTTGGATATAGAATTTAGATTCATTTCCACTAAGAAAAGCCTTTCACAGCTATAGTTTTCAAACACAAATACATTGAGAAAAGGCTATCTTAGATGTACTACTATCTGTAGTAGATTATTGCTTCTATGTAGAGCTTCTGAGGGCTAGAAATTGCTATACAAAAATTGTATTGAGTTTGTTTGTTTAGAGTTGTTGTGAAAGACACTTTATTTATGACTGAGATGGGGCCCTACTGTTTACCCTATGGTAACCATAACTGAAATAGGGCCCTGTTTCCCGATCTGTCCTCCTTCCTCCCCTTATAGCCACCCCGGAATAATAACTGTTTAAATGCAACTAAGTTTTAATGTTCCAACAATAATTTATTTAACAACAATTGAGCAGTCCATTCTTTGATTTTCTGTTGAGCTTGAACGGCCGCTCCGCGTCTTGTTCTGCTGTCATAATTAAATGGTTCACTATAATCTGTCCAACGAACCTACGAAGTATGACAGAGTCAAAATAGCGGCTAGGTTTACACTGAACACTGATTTATGCTATTTATTTATTTCAAAATCTTATAAAACATCACTCTACAGTGTAAAGCGGATTGATAAATGACCAATAGTAACGAACCTTTTTGAAGGTTTTGTTGTTTGTCACTCCGTAGGTTGGTTGGACAGAGTATAGAATCTATTTCTCATAAGGAGGGATAATCTGACAATCTATCACTGACACTGACGTGAACCTTCTATTTGGGATTTACGTGCCTGATATTGATACCTGAAACCTCTACCTGGGATTCACCTTGCCTGATATTGATACGTGAACCCTCTACCTGGGATTCACCTGGCTTTTTTCCTAAAGAACCCCAAAATTGTGTTGTAAATAGACCATAAACCAATACACATCAATACTTACTGATAAATCGCCTTGCGGTCATTTGCGACAAGAGTCAGAGAAGCACACAAACGTTCATACAATTATTGAGCTTTCAAAGAACGATTCATTACCGAATGTTATTAGTATGTTTTAGATTAAGCCTCAGGATTTCAGTAAATATGTATAGAAAACGAACATAACTAATTTAATAGAATACCATTTGGGTTAAAAAATGCGCCCGCAACATTTCAAATTTCAAAATACCGAATGCAAATTCCAGCAAAAAAAAAATCGACTTGTTCAGGACATTGTATTATATCATCCTGGAATACATTTATTTTAATTTATTCCCCTATATTCCATCCAAAACTACTGCCCTAGGGTATCCAGTTTCAGACAACCCTTTTGTTACGGCAACCATCCCCCCTCGAACAATGACATTAAACGTTCCTGCAAAAATCCCCGGTCGATATAGAAATTTGGGGAATGTTAAACTTACTGACAGGCGTCTCTCTCCCTCGGTGCAATACGCGAGTGTTATTTTTGGTATTTAGCATTTTGCAATGATTAGGGGATGGCGTATCGGACAAAACGAGGGTTACGTTTGCCGGAAATGATTACTTTAGCCGGGGGATGTTTGATTGAAAGGAAAGGAACATCAGTTATGCAGTAGTTGTCTGTAGCTTGAAATTACTCTTTAACCTAATTAAAAAAACACTTAGGTGCCTCTTGAGTGATTTTTATTAATTCAGAAAGGAGCATCAAAAGGAAATGGAGAAGTGGAACTCCTATAACTTTCTATGATAGCTACCGGGCGAAACTGCCAAAACCTTTAGCAAATTGAAACGGTTCAAAAGGAAATTATTCAGTAGGTTCAAATGTGGTAATGTTTTGTCTGTTATATATTAGGTAGAAAAGGGGATCCCAGGTAGACTTAGAAGGATGCTCGGTTTATTTAATTGAGATATAATTTCCCTTTGTTGCGGTATAATGAATTATCAAAAATATACTAGAAGTATATACATCCCTTGGAAACCATTAAAGTAATTCCCCCTTTTCTAATAATTATTATTCCAGATACAATATGTCCGCAGGCCACTCTCCGTTAAATGTCATTGTTTAAAAGGGGGGAGAATTGAGAGACAAAGAGTTCAAAAATAAAGTCAGAGGGTCCGGGGTTTATTGCCTGGATCAACAAGAAGAAGGGGTGCAAGTGGATAAATGAAAATTCGGGCGAATGACAGAGAGGCCAGTGTGAAAATTTTATCTTGATGTGGGTATCGAAAAACGAACTTATACAATATTTAAATTGAGAGAAGGGCTTAATAGATTTATAAAAGTATTTTCATGGGTTTTTATAATTTAGTGAGGTAAATGAAATTTCTCTTCTCAACGTCTAAAGCAATAATTTATTGGGTTGTAAGGTTGAGAAGTGTGAAGTTGAATTTTTGTATCAAAATCATTGTGTTTGCAGCAATGAAAACTCAAGAATCGCATAAAGAAGAAGAATAGGCGATGACTTGATAGATTAATGGGTAACCAAAGTTTACACCCCCTCAACCACTAAACATTGTTCCTATCAACCATAAATTCACTTCTTTCCCATTATAAAACACGCGGGAATCGCCCCCCCCTAAACAAAATAAATCCTCTTTAAAACCACTGCCAAAAAGAAGCTTTTGGGGAGATTAAGCTCTTAAGCCTGTTCTAACAGATCAAAAAAAAAAAACACTACAAACTATTAACTGAAGATTTGCAACAGGAAAACACCATTTTACTAATCATTACGCATTAGGATTGATTCAATTTATATATAGAGCCACAATCAATGGATTTCCAGTTCCCTCAGCCTTAATTCTTGAAAGATTAAACTAAGGGGGATGTTCCGCGTCCACAAAATAAATCTTAATTCTAGACCTCATCTGTTTTCCGAAAAACAATGCTAAATAATGCAGATGGCCCTCCCTTTTAGCTAATCTGCATATTAACCACGATATCGACGAAAAGATCGACGTATGAATTGTGTATTAGCGGACCCATTACCAAATTGCTATATTGGGTACAAGTTTATACAGATTGACTTGTCCTGTTTACATGAGACACGAGGGAGATCTGGAATTGATTTTCAGACGGTGTGAGTTACAAGGATTTGGATTTAAGCAATAGTGGTACAAGTTTTCAGTATGACCACATCCCTGTCTTTTGCTTCACAGCATTAGGTATGTTTACTTTCACCGATTTCTACTGATTTTTATTCGTATAGTGATTGATTTGATTGTTATATTGAGGTTTACAATGTCTTCTGCCCCATCAGGTGATTGATTTTAGTTTAACCTTGACGTCAAAGTCTGCTCTATTTCCCCTGAAACGAACATCAGCTAATCAACATTAAGCCCGAGATGAGAGCGAGAATATTTCTCGTTTTATTGGCAGATTTCATCAGCAACTTCCAGAGAGTCAAAATGAACGGACATAATGAATTTAGGATCGGTTTATCGGCCGAAATGTTAGTTAACCGACAGCCAAACTAAATAAACCGGTCCTTAATCGAATACCATTTGGATTAAAAAATGCCCCCGCTACATTCCAACAAGTAATAGATTCTTTGGTTTTTTTCCAATCAATTTTTGGTATGTTCAAGTTAAAAGGCTTCTGGATATATAAAAAAATCATCATTTTCCAAAGTTTCCCAGATTTCCTGGAAAAAAATCAAAAATCCGACCATAATCTGTATATCAGATACAGTCTTGAAGAATGTGTAATCTAAACAAATACAAACTTATCGGATTGAAGAATTCAATTTTACTCTATAAACCCAAAGATTTATTCAATAGCTAGTCAATATTTGCCCAAACGATTAGCCAAAGATTGACGTAAAGTTCATTAGTATTTCTACCTGATACATCGGGAAAACAATAAAACCTCTTAACGAGGATTGGCTCTCCGATTTTCAACTTTGGTCACGTGCGAGAACCGACTAGCTCAGGGAGAGATCTCTAATCATAATTGAAAATATCTACAAGTAGATTGACCGGGGCCGAAATTAGTGCGGTTTAAGTTATAACGAGAATTGTCAACATTTTCCTATAGAGAAACTTTTTTGTTTTACACAAAATTAACCAACCCCTCTACACACACTATTAAGGCAGGTTTTGTTGCTTTAATAAATAGGTGATTTTTCGGTGAAATCTAGAATAATTAATGCCCTGTTAGTTGTTTTAAATTCCCTCCTGCTATCGCCATATAAACTGAAATGATGCAATTATTACCTCTAACTGGAACAATGTCAGCTCCATCACTACTTATCACTAAAATTGTATGATTATCAACCGACATTTTGATGGGATAATTAGGAAATCCTGCATTTATCACTCTGAAACGATACCTGTAGCCCTAAAAATACATGTTTGTTGTACATTTTGTTTGGAAATTCTTACTTGTTCTACAGGAAATCTTGCCAATGGAGTATAGATAGTCTTATTTTCACTAACAAACTCCTTCCCATTACCCATTCCGTTAATCAAAAGTGTAGCAGGCTTATTATCACCAACACTATGATGATGATACAAAAACTTTTCCATCCCAGTAATTCTTTCCCAATCGATCAAAATCATTGTGTGCAAAGAAAGATCGTAATCGTACTCTGATATCTGCGGGTTACTTGCTTCGGGAACTCGTACCACGAGCGGACCGTAACAGCCGTCCACCCTTTGCAAGGAAGTGCAGAAAGCATAAGGAAGTTTTGTTGGAAAGTCGGAGATATTCCTAGAAGTTCAACTAGATGAGACTGATGAGAGTCTAGAAAAGTTTGGAGAAACTCGAACAAGTGGAGTTATTTAAAGAAATCCTAAGGAAACTCAGAAAGTCTTGATGAGATGAGAAAAAGGATAGAAGTCAAGAGCAATAAAGATGCAACTACCTATTCCAAATGTTAATGTTTGAAAAATACAGGTGAAGAGAAAAAAATCTAAATCTTGATGAATAAGAAGATATAAGAGAAAAGAAAAAAAGATTTTGAAGAGGAGGAACAAATATTAATAGGTCTAATCAGAAACATGAATTCTAAATTTATGATCCAGAGAAATCATCAGAATTCTCTTATAAAAGATCCAAGGAATTTTCAAGCTTTGGAAAAATCATCAAAAACTAAAGAACTTCCTTTTCTTCAAGCATCAAGAAATTTTAGAAAATCCTAGGGATTTTCTCATAGAAGAAAATTAAAAAGTTTATTAGACAAATGATTCGGGACTTTCTCAAAAAATAACCAAAGAATTTACAAAATATTGCCCAAGAATTCATGCTCCAAAGATTCCAGAATCTAAGGAATTTTTAAGTTTTGGGGAAATCATCAGCAACTAAAGAACTTCAAGAATCCTATAAAGGGTTCTCTCATAGAAGAAAAAAAGAAAGTTTTGTAGATAAATTATTCAAAATTTTCTCAAAAAAAGAATCAAAGAATTTGCACAATAATGCTATAGAATTTATAATCCAAAAATTCTTAAGTCTTATCTTATAGGTACCTAAAAGCTCCAAGAAATCAGAATCTGTACAGAACTTCTATTTCCTCCAGCCATCCATCAAGATATTTCCAAAAATTCAAAAAATCCTAGAGGTTCTCTCATAGAAATTTGTAGACCAAGTCATGATTGGCTAAGATACAGATGAAGAAAGAACATATTTTTCTGATGAAATAAATACATGAAAATGGACATTTATGAAGTACAATAATACTAATCCTTAAGTAAAATAAACAAGAAGAGGATTGATCCAAAAAAGCAGACAATGGAAGAAGTATAAAAATTGTTTATCAATTAATAAAGGAAGTTTCAATGCTAAAGAAAAGAGATAATCACTCACATACTCCAGGGGTAAACCGCAAGGAAAATCTAGTTTACAAATCAAGAGGAAATCCCTACAATGCTCACTGATGTCGGAGTGACATCATTTTAGATTAAGTTTTCGTCCGTCACGTCATCTTACCAAAATATGACGTGATATTAGACGTTTCTTTTCTGACGTCATATAAAAGTCAAAAGTTCGATGACAATATTTCGTAATTTTTTTTGACGCATGATGATTAAAGGATCGTGAGGATTCGGCTCGGCCGTTAAAATCACGTATATTTATGTCATGAAATCACGTATTTTGACGTCATAAAATCACGTTTTTCGGGCTGTTACATAATCACGTGAACCCTTTGCCTTTTAAACGTTATTTGAAAAGTGAAAATAACATCTAATCTCACAAAATATGACGAAACAAAGGCGTCAAATTGACGTCAGCTTAAAACTTGATCCAGGGGAAATAATAAGGAAATCAAGGGAAATCTCTAAATCTAACGCATCCGCAGTTTCCAAAAATACGTCAAATCATAATTTGAGGCTATTTTCTCATAGAGGAACTCTTGGAAATATCTCACTGGTAATCAGAAGTCAGGGGAAACCATGAGAAATCATTAAACCTTAATTTAATGTACAAAAACTTACTAGGGGTAAACCGCAAGTTAGGAGAAATCAAGAAGAAATCCAAGGAAATCTAAGGCAATCCGGGGAAATTATAAAGAAATCAAAGGAAATCTTGAGGATCTCGGGAAAAATCTTAAGAAAATCATGGAAAATCTTAAGGAAATCAGTCAATCTTTAGGTAGATGTAACCGCATCCACATGCTCAGTTTGCAAAAATTTTAGAAAAGATTTTTCTGATCCTAAAAATTTACTGAATTGGAAATTTTAAAAACTGTATGACCTCGGCCCTACGGGCTCGTTATTGAACTAACACAACAAAACGTCACAATATTGACATTTCAAAGTAGGCCTCTGTTTTCTTTGACAATTGTCAATATTACAGATAACTGTAAATAAAAAATTTATCACACCAAATAGGCTTTGAACAAGGATGATACACACTTATTGTTTATCTACCTTGTTTTTGGTAATCGCCGCCATATTGGTGTATCAGCATTTCGGACGTCATAACTAAGTCGTCAACTGTCCAAACAGCCTACCTACGTCAATAAGGCGAGAAATAACATGCTGCCTATGTCACAACTGGTGATCTGGCGGGGAAGGGGGAATTTGTTCCACACAGGCCTTATGAGGATAGGCTATCCTGAGTCCTTTATTCTCGAAACAAGAAACTAACGTTCTCATGAGAACGAAAATGCTGTCTTCGTCGCTCATATTTATATTTCCATAACACCAGAACCTCTGTTCTCATGAGAACGCTGTTCTCCGGTTTCGAGAATAAGGACCCTGTAGTAGTAGTGCGTATCATCCTTGGGCTTTGAAAATGTGTATAGCAATGTCAGTATTACAGGGCGCCAACTTCATACTTTGGAATTTGTTCAAAGCCTGCTTTGTCGCTTGTCAGTGTTACCAGTTACGTCATTTTCTCAATCATTGAAGCTCAAAAATTAAAAAAAAAGCTTAAGGACTGTTTTCTTTGACGATGGTAAATATTACAGATAACTGTAAGCGAAAAATTTATCAAACCAAATAGGCTTTGAACAAGGATGATACACACTTACAGAATTGTTCATCTGCCCTGTTTTTTGGGTAATCGCCGCCATATTGGTGTGTCACCATTTCCGACGTCATAACTAAGTCGCCAACTAAACAGCCTACGTCAAGTCGAGAAATAACATGCGGCCTAGGTCACAACTGGTGATTTGGCGGGGAAGGGGGGATTTGTTCCACATAGGCCTTATGAGGATAGGCTATCCTGAGTCCTTATTCTCAAAACAGGGAACTGGCGTTCTCATGAAAACGAATATGCTGTCTTCGTCGCTCATATTCATATTTCTATAACACCGACGAAGACAGAACTTTCGATCTCATGAGAACGCTGTTCGCCGCTATTGCAATACAAAATTCAAATGAAAAGATCATCCAAAAAATCACAATCTAACACACTGGGAAAATTATCATTTTGAATGTGACACTTGTAAAGCAAAATTTAGACAAGAACGTCTATTGAAGTGTCACCAACTAATACACTCGGATATTCATCCTTTTGAATGTGACACTTGCAAAAAAAAAAAATTTAAACGTAAAAACCAATTGAAAAATCACAAATAAGTAACACATTTTTTCGAGAATAAGGACCCTGTAATAGTAGTGTGTATGATCCTTGGACGTTGAAAATGTGTATAGCAATTTCGGTATTAGAGCGCCAACTTCATACTTTGAAATTTTTCCAAAGCCTGCTTTGTCGCTTGTCAAACAGTGTTGCCAACTACGTCATTGTCTCAATCATTGAGGCTCAAAAATTAAAAGCTCTAGAAGGTTCTGCATATTTTCAATTTTCCACATCCTACTGCCAAATAATTATTTTTTTAAACGTCGGCAACACTGCTGGGCAATGTTGAATATCATATTTTTGACAAGCGACAGGATTACTTATCAAAAACTTCATTTTTCATCGATTTGTTCTGAAATTTTGACAGGCACGTGATTTGTAAATTGAAACTGTCTGATCTGGTCACGTACCTGTCAAAATTTTGGAGCGAATCGACGAAAAAGATGATAGTCGGTGATGAAAAATGACGGTCAAATTATTTATCAATTAATGGAAAAAGTTTCAATGCCAAAGAGAGGGGAAAATTATTTGAAAAGTTTCCTACAAAGGAAATCTGGAGTACACAATCGAGGAAATCTAAGGCGTTCAAGGGAAATTATGAAAAAAATCAGAGGAAATCAAAGGTAATCTCAAGGAACTCAAAGAAAATCCTAAGGGAATCATGGAAAATCCTAATGAAATCAGTCAATTTCTTGATGTAACGCATGTCCAGTTTTCAATAGTAATTAGAAAAACTCCTGCCCTACAGGCTCGTGACTGAAATAACTCTCGCCCTATGGGCTCGTTGTTGAACTAAGTCTCGCCCTTCGGGCTCGTGATTTGAAAAAAAAAAAATATGGTGAAACCGCTCATTACACAACAAACGTCAAAAAACTGACATTTCAAAGTAGGCCTTGTTTTCTTTGACAATAATTATCAATATTATAGATTACTGTGAGCGAAAAATGTATCAAATCTACGATCAAACCAAGGGCCGGTTTCTCAATAGCGAGTTACCTCCGGGTTCGTTTTAACTCCAGAGTAAACGTGTCCATAGTTGCTATGTTTACCCTGGAGTAATGTTTAACCCGGGAGTGACTTGCTATTGAGAAACTAGCCTCAAGTAGGCTTTGAAAACGTGTCGGTATTACAGGGCGCCAACTTCATACTTGGAAATTTTTCTAAAGCCTGTTTTGACGTTTGTCAAATAATGTTGCCAACTACAACAGACATTGTCTCAATCATTAAAGCTCAAAGATTTTAAAAAAAGTCCAAGTAGACCTTTCAAATTTAAAATTTTCCACATCCTACTGCTGAGTGCCGAATAATTACCACACAAACAGTTTTTGAATAAAGACAAACAAGAAATCTTGAAAAATTGGAGAATTCAAAATTTTCAGAACTCTAGATTCTTCCCAAAAGTAAACACAGAATCTTTGAAGAGTATTTGAACAAATTCAACAATAAATCTTGAAAATTTGCAGAATTCAAGATTTTAGAAACTGTAGAGTCTTCTCCAAAGAGAATTTTAGAGTTTTCGAATATAATTTGACGTCATGTTATCAGGGAAACTCTTGGGAAATCTTGCTGGTATTCAAAAGAAATCATGGAAAATGATCCATGATTTCCCCCAGCCTAAAACAAAGCTGTGACTTTATCCACAATAAAAATGCCCATTAACCAAATAATTCATGTTTTCTCCAATGTGTTCTTTCAACACATCCGAATGCGCAATAAAATTATTAACGGCCTTCCGTGCAATGAAATGACCAATCGATGAATGGCCCTTAAAAAAAAAACTGTTCATTATTTGCTGACAACACCCGGAATTCCTATAATAAAAACCTGATACGACGTTGGTGTAAAAGTTTTACTGCGGCTGATAAAAAACAATACCCATTACTTGAGGAAATTGTACTAGTATTATAGTACAAATGAAATCTTTTGTAACAACCATAATGTCTTTTTTTCGTGATTTGGATCCCTTTTGGTAGGGCCTGAGGGACTTTTGATATAATAACCGATTTTGTCTCTCTAACGTTTTCATCGGGAAAACCTGTAGGAAATGGGGAAATCGCTGCTTGTTGGGGGGGTTTGAATTACGATATTGTTCTTTGATTTGCAAGAATTTCCACTTTTAATTGCCTACGTCAATTAGGAATAATGTCATTAAACTTATCAATATTTTATCTATGACCGGATATTATAAATGTACCTAGTTTCTATAATAATTTATTATTTGTTTTTCCAAATTGTCACTCGTCAAATGAGCAATATTGTGTTTTACAATTTAGAGTTTCGACCGCGAAAAGCCATTAATTCGAGTATTTAATCCCGATCCGGCATTCATAACCTAAAAGCTCATTTCGCTAGTTCGCCCCAATAACGAATCCAAATATTGATATGATCGAAACAACAACAAAAAAAAAAAACCCAGGGGGCTCATATTGGACTATCAATTATTACCCAAATTAAAAATATCTGAAAATTGATTGAAAATTTTACGACTTTTGAGTTTTGTTGTGGTCTCCGTGAAATATTTTTATTACAAAGTTTCGCTGTTTGACCAGAGAACAACCACCAAAGACAAGCGACAGGAGATATTTTTATGTAAATAAATTCAGTGTAAAATATTTCTGACTTATCCACTGAATACGACTGCAAATGATTCTTGACGACGAGAAGTTTGAAGGATATTGTGTTGGACTTCAATAGAAGCAATCGTCCACTTTTCATGTTCTACTTCTTTGCTTCTATTCTTGAATAGCCTAAACTTCTTCTGAGTTGTGTAAGAAATATCACAAGTAGATGTATGGTGGAATCAGAAATCTAGCACGTTAACCCTTGTTTGCTGATATTGAAGGGTAGAACAGTTTCTGGATCGATTTTTTGGGAGGTGTGAATGTCTTATATTCGCAGTCCAAAATTGACGTGGATATTTTGAATTGCTGCTGGTTTTACCAGAGGAACAAACTCTGGTAAAACCCAACTACATTTTTAACTTTTAATTTATAAAGACTCTCTGGATTTAATACAATTTGCAAGCCTAGGTTGCATTTACCTTTTTTCAACTTTTCCTTTGCCAGTTATCCCCATGCTAATATGAGATTTATGGTTCATATCTTACTTTTATGTGTCAACTAAATTGAGCGTAGAATTTACCTTGCCATTTAAGCAAATTTCTGGATAAATAGTTTTTAGATATAGTTCATAGTTTGGCTTTTATATCGCAACTTCATTGGACATAAAATTTAACTTGTTCTTATCATAGAGCAACTCGTGTCGATAGATTAGCAACTTTTAAGCCAATTGTAGGTGGCGAATTTCGAGGGGTAAACCACCTTGAAAAATATTTACAGTAGAATCCCACGAAATCCTACTGAAATTCCACTGAAAATGAATAAAATTACTTGTGCAAAGTACTTTGTTACGATAAATTTATCATTTTCGTAACATATTCCATTTCTTCTAATTTTCATTATAGAGTTGTATTTTTGCCATTTCAGAATCAACAAAATAATAATTCATAACTTAAGTAATTTAAAAGTATCTAGAAAATTTAATTAAGCCAATATAATGTCAGTACTGCCATCTATCCATAATGAGCATAAAAATGCAAATATATTATTATTAAAAGAAGGTACCGCCATCTAGTACCTGATAAATTTATTTTCTAAAATATGATTTTCATTATTTCTCATTGACATTATTGACAGTCATTCGTATTTTCATTTAAAGAAATTATATTTATCTCACTTTTAGCAAATAGATATATTTCTGTCTTTCTCTAACTTCTGATTCTGAAATAATTATTTTTGGCTTAATGACCTAATTAATTAGTGGTTTTCTGTTTTCAATATAACCTTAATTTAAATTATTGTAATTTGTAAACAATTAAAATAATTCTATTGTGTTTTCATCTATTTCCTTTTAATCAACGTGGTGTTTCATTGATTAAGTGAGCACGGTCTTTTGTGTGTGTAAAGTGTCTTCTTATTGGTCGATGGTTAAATGGTCTCTTATCTGGCAGAACCACTAAATAGGCGAGTCGATTTCATTTTTTGTAATTTTTTTCTTCAGATTTCTAGATTTTCCCTTAATATTTTCCAATTTATTTTATCATCAGTGTATACTATCATATCACTGTTGAGTTTTTACCTGATAAATCTTATCTTATCTACCTGGGAACGCTGCTCCTTTGTCTCAAGAATAAGGACCCAGGATTTATGAATTCGAGTTTTCTCCTTGTGAAAAAGTTAATTTGAAGTTACAAACTGAATTTAGAAGCTTTTTCTCACGTTTATACATCCAAAAATGATTAAATTCTGCAATCTGCAAAAATCATTTTTGCGAAATACTTCTAATGATTACATTGACTTGAAACTTCCAAGATTTATGAATTAAAGTCTCCTCTTTTTGGAAAAGTTAATTTGATGATGATTTGAAGGTCCAAACTATATTTGGAGGCTTTTTCTTACGTTAAGGCACAAAAAAAATTCTGCAAAAATCACTACCTAGTGCAAAGTACTTCTAATAATCACAGTGACTTGTAACTCTCGGGATTTATAAATTGAAGTTTCCTCTTTGTGGAAAAGTTAATTTGAAGTGGATTTAAAGCTCCAATTTAGATTTTTTTGGTATTTTTTTTGGAATTAGTGGTACAAGCACAACTATTGTATCTGTTTCGAGCACTCTAACTGTTCCGTATGTATTCCAGAAAATGTCAAAAACTACAAAAAAAATTCTAAAAAATTCCAAAAAATGCCAAGGAATTCGCTGCAGTTTGGGTAGTTCAGTTGGTGTAGGAATAGGAACATGCCTATTCTCTCCGTCTCAGTCAATCATTCTATAACAGGTGACAAATATTCTTTCACTAGTAATGGAATGATGCTATTCCGTAATTAAAAACTAAGTAGGAATGGACGAATTCTCTAATAGTTGTAGAAAATAGTATATTAAAATACAAGTTGCAGAAGACCACATATTCCCGCACGCATTCGAAATTTGGCCACGAGCGACGAAGGAGCGAGTGGACGAACGAATGAGTGCGAGAATAGCCTTCTGCAACGTGTGTTTTATACTATTTTTTCGATTTTGGATTTTATTTTTCATTTTTTAAAAAAATTTTGTGAACGCTGTTAGTTGGGGTTTTTTTTTATTTTCAAAATATGTCAGTTGGTGATACTTACTTACCAACCAACTGACAGGTGGATTCTATCATTTTCAATGAACTATAAACTAAACGTACCTGGAATGGCCCGGCCTATCTCTAAAATGCGGCACATTGAGATGGAGAATATGGGGGATCCCTATCTTCATTCACCTTATGGACCAATTATGAAAATCTTTCCTTGTCTAACAAATATTATATTTGAGGTTAGGAATATACACCAAACCGAACAGTAATGCAATAGAGAGGGAAAGGTATCCCCCACTAGATAGCTTTCTTTGGACGCACTAAGAGAGATGACGAATGCCATATCCGACAACGGTCGGTGCCATTCCAGGTACGTGTAGTTTATAGTTCATTGATCATTTTAGAAGGTTTGACAATTTTGAAGGTACCAATGGGTATACTTTGAAAACTAAATGTCACTAAAAATCGTTGAAGAATGAGCTTCATTCTTCAACGATTTTGCGTGCGGGAATAATGACATTCTCACATCAAAATCGAGAAACAGTATTCCCATTCGGCTTAAACCCTAATGTCACTTTTTAATATCAACTTAATATCAGAAACTGCATTTCGATGTGTGTGTGACCCGTTTCATTAATTCTTAATTTCTTTGAATCTGATTTCTAAAGGAAGTTTGCGAAGGAATCCTGCGGTGCACTCAATTTTTCTCTAGTCCCGCAATTTTTAGATACTAGATTAGGTACATGGCTCTATGGGTTCATTCTCTTCAATGTGCCAGAAAAAAGACTTCCTATCAGCAAAGATGACGAAAAAGGTCTTTTTTCAGCGCATTGTTTACTATAAAAATATCCGATTGTAACTTATTCCGGAAAATAAACCCCAAGAAACCTTCAGCTTAAAGTGAGCCAATAATATTATTAGCTCACTTTATACAGGGTGAGACCGAAATAAGTGCGCATTTTGTTATGAAAGATAGTACTAGGTGTTTGTTTATAGCTGGAACACTCAGTAACCTCTTTTATTATTGAAAATAAAGAGCATGTTTAAGTTGGAAAATTTCTTGGTAAATTGCAACCTTAAGCGCCACAACGATATTTTTTTGTCGTCATAGGTACCTATACAGGGTGCGCCAAAAAGGTATTTTTTTCAAATGGAACGCCCTGTATATTTTTGTTATTCGAATAGTGTTTGATATTTTTGTGAAGCTAATTTTTTAAGAATTTTAAAAACGCAAAAATATACAGTGCGTTCCATTAAAAAAATGACTTTTTTGGCGCACCCTGTATACCCATGGTGACAAAAAAATATCGTTGTAGCGATTAAGATTGTTGCAATTTACCAAGAAATTTTCCAATTTAAACATGCCCTTTATTTTCAATAATAAAAAAGTTACTGAGTGTTCCAGTTATAAACAAACAACCTGTACAGCAGGACAATCACTCTTTTTTGTATTTCTTTTGGAATTAGTGGTACAAGCACGAGCACTTTATGTGTTTCGAGCACTCGAACTGTTCCGTATGTAAGATTCTAAAAAATGCCAAAAGATTCCAAAAAATGTCAAGGAATTCCATTTTGACATTTTTTTTGTAAATTTTTCTTGTTTCTCTTATTATTTGTTATTTATTTTTGAAGTGAAATTTCTTAAGCGGCGGGCTGATACTTATTTGGACAAGAATTGAGAGTGATTTGAAAGACGCGTCACGTTTTGGCAAATTTCATTACACGAGAGTGAAGAGAGATATAACGTAGAAAGACGGAGAAAGACAGCCAATGACAATGACAGCCGACAAACGATTGACACAAACTAAGGATTATAAACTATTATTATCAAGCGCCGATACCCTTGTGAAGTCACTAAAGATGCGCGTCTCCATTTTGTGTGGTGATTCGATTTACCCCGACTCGTACGCTTGGATAGTTAGCGAGTTCCGCAGCCATCTATTCATCAATATTTTATGTAATTACGATACTAACCTGACTCACTCAAATGTGAGTTATTCTCATTAGTTTAAAAACTACACGTTTCAGGTGAATGTCTTACTTGAACAGTTCAACAGTATATTGCTGAGTAGATGGCTGCGGAGCTCGCTATTCACTACTTTGCCTATTAACAGGAATTAGTAATGTTACTTCACCAAACTAGTAATATAATGTGACAAGTTATTCAAGTACAAACGAGTGGATTGTTGCGGAACTTATGGGTGGACCTCTGCGGGACGAGCGTAGCGAGTTCCGCAGCCATCTATTCATTAATATGTTGTTTAATTACGATACTCACATGTGAGTTATTTTCATTAGTTTAAAAACTACATGTTTCAGGTGAATGTCTTACTTGACCGATTCAATAGTTTATTGGTGAGTAGATGGTATGAGGTCCAACCATGATTGGACCTCTGTACCATCTACTCAGCAATATACTATTGAACTGTTCAAGTAAGACATTTACCTGAAACATGTAGTTTTTAAACTAATGAAAATAACTCACATTTAAGTGAGTCAGGTTAGTATCGCAATTCAACAACATATTAATGAATAGATGGCTGCGGAACTCGCTGCGCTCGTCCCGTAGAGGTCCACCCATAAGTTCCGTAATAATCCACTTATTTGTACTTGAACAATAACTTATTATATAAAGTCAAAATTTGTAAGATTATGATTATTCACTTTTTGTCACTTTGCCTATTAACAGGAATTAGTAATGTTACTTTACCAAACTAGTAATATAATGTGCTAAGTTATTCAAGTACAAACGAGTGGATTGTTGCGGAACTTATGGGTGGACCTCTGCGGGACGAGCGCAGCGAGTTCCGCAGCCATCTATTCATCAATATGTTGTTTAAATACGATACTAACCTGACTCACTCAAATGCGAGCTATTTTCATTAGTTTAAAAACTACACGTTTCAGGTGAATGTTTTACTTGAACAGTTCTACAGTATATTGGTGAGTTGATGGCTGC